AGGTACATGAATGACAGATGAAAGAGTAATATCAGGAGACAGACAAACATCACCCTTACTGTGAATGTAAGATGTAGAGCCATCCGCAAGATACACATATTGGGTAACAGGTATGACATTGGAAGAAAAAACTGATAACTCACTAGTCATGTGATCATTGGCCCCAGAATCCAGAACCCAAGTGGACTGCTTGGCCTTAACATTAAATGTAGTAGGAGTACCTGTAGCAATAGTGGCAGTGGGAGCAGCTGAAGGAGCACCAACTCTAGAAGCAAGGGAGCCAAATTGGTCCTGGATTTGCCCAATTTGAGACTGAAGCTGGCTCAGTCTAGGAAATACAGTAGATCCACCAGTAGTAACAGGAGTCTCTACAACAGCCGCAGTACGAGAAGAACCAGTTCTAGATAAACGGTTCCTAGAAAATTTCTGCTTCAGTTCAGTATGAAATTTGAAGCAACGAGCCTTAACATGTCCAACCCCTCCACAATGGTGATAAATAATCTGACTTCCAGAAGCATGTGATCCAAAGTTGGCTGCAAAAGCCATACTATCTCCAGCAGGCTCAGACACAAGTAGAGGAATAATTGAGGGCTAAATTAAACGGTGCCTGTGTGTTTCACCATCAACACTAGCAAAGGCTTCCAACAGGGATGGCATTGGTGATGCATTCAAGATCTGAGACTTTAGTGGTTCAAATTCTGGGCATAATCCCATCAAAACTGATAGTTATGCTGACGATCAAGACGTTTGACAAGAAGAGAGGCTGCCTCGGAAAGGAAATTCACTGAGAGGCTTATATTGAGTTAATTCCTCCCAACGAGATCTCAAATACCTAAAGTAATTAGCTACAGACAAATTCAGGCCTTCCTGTGAGGCCTTAGCAAAATCTTGGTATAATTCAAAAATACGAGCATCATTCCTAGGATGAGCATATATTTGATTCAAAGCAGTCCACAAGTCATTAACAGAGTCATGAAACATGAATATGTTATAAATGCATTCATCCATAGAATTAAACATCCATCCTAAAATGGTGCAATTGTCCATATCCCACTGAGCATATTTAGGATCTTTAATATTTGGCATCTTTTCAATACCCAAAATCCACCCTGATTTGCCTTTTTCACCAACATAGAGGCTGAGGGAACGAGCCCAGGATGCAAAATTACGGCCATTCAACAACACACTAGTAACTCGTTGAGCCGGTGTGTGTTGCGCCGAAGAGAGAGTTTCTTTATTATTACTTGATTCGGCCATAATATTAAATAGAACAATTCAACAGATCACCAATAATTTCAAATAAAAGAGGAATAAACTTGATTTTGATCAAACCAAGAAGCCGGAGACACGGCGGTCTGATCCGAAAATGCTGCCGAATATCTCGGCAGCCCCAAAAATTACAAACACGTCTTTTGACCCTTAGTGCATGCAAAAGACTAAGGGAATACCCCTACAGGAGTCGAGCCTAGAGGAGATTGGCTCCCCTAAGGACTGTCACAACAGCGGCCTGAAGAAGAGAGAGGGTCTGTGAAGAAAAGGAAAAAAGAAATAGGGAAGGGGCTGTGACGAGATAGAGAGAGAGAGATCAAAAGAGGCAGTGAAAGAGATGAGAGGGGGGGGGGGGGGGGGAGGCGTAGGTTTGAGGCTCTGATACCAACAAGTAACTTGGTAAAATTGGTGTACTTAATTTGAGAGCCTGACTATCATTATATACAAGAGGAAAATTACAAATATGGAAAAGAGAATAAAATCAAATCAGAGTAAAAATAAAATTCCTAAACATTAGCCTATAATGAAGACCCAATAAATCTGCCACAATCATTGAGTCAACTTATAGATATGATTTTCAACAGAAACAAGTTGCAAAGATCTGAGACGAGTGATCCGAAGATCTGTGATGTTTCCATTTTTCAGCATTTTTTATTTTTCCGAAATTTTTGTTGCTGCAAGGGCATTTTCGTCTTTTGTTGTTTTTCGTGTCGGACACTGTAGAGCGTGCTGGTTATGTCCGAGAGTTGTTTGGGACATTTCATTGAGTTCAGGACTCTTTGAAATGCAAGGTTGGTCATTTCTGCATTTTTTTTCCGTTTTTCAGGCCGGAAGGTCCTGTGTGGGACCCGCTACCGGACTTGTTGCATACGGGTATTTTAGTTGAGTCTATTTGCATCATATTTATTTTTAATTATTGTGTTTTAAGTGATTGTGAAATTAAATATGTATATGTATATATGTGGTGTAAAATTAAAGATAAAAGAAAAAGGAAAATTGTAAAAGAAATTGGTAGGACCCACACCCTTGTTAAAAAGGAATCAAGAGGCAATTTTTGCCTCATTTTCTCTTCTCTATTTCCTCTCTCCCGCTGGTCCTCTCTCTCACCCCCTTTACCTTGCTTTTTCTTTCTCTTTTTGTATCAAACTTCAATCCTAGATCTCTCTCTCAATACTTGGAATTTTTGGAAGTCATTTGAGGCAAATAGAAGCTCACGGAAAGATCTACAAGTTGATCGGAGCAATTTCTTGGTTGGAGCACTATAGGAATTTCGAAACTCTAGGGCACAATTTGGGGGTTTTGGCTTAGATTGAGGTAAGGGTCTCTAATTCATATTTTCTTGTTCCTTTGTGAGTCGATTCCTAGTTAATTGATGGTAATATGCTTAATTGAAGTTAATTTCTTTTAGAATGATTTTATTGTGGTGTATAAGGTTCATGATTTTATATATATATATGTTGATTCGTGTAAAAAGCATGCCTAAGTGTTGATTTTCTATTTCTACTGTGTTGTTAATTTACTAGAAATGGTGTATGTAAACTTGTATGATATTCCTTGAATTTTTGATAAAGAATGCTTAAATTGTGTTATATGAAAATCTCTCACTTCCATAGTATTGAAGGCATGAGACATACATGCATGTCATTGGGCATGAAGAAGGGCAAAGTGATTTGAAGCAAATGAGAAAAATGGGTTTTGGGAAAAATATTTGAGAAAATGATTTTTGTAAAAACCCAGACGCCAAGGGGGTACTGAGGATCCGTGGCGTTAATGTAGCCTAAAGGGAACTAGGGAGATCGCCATAGCGTGGTTGAGCCAACTGGCCCCAAGGGTCAGGGACAGTGGCTAATCCTTCTCTCGTGTCGCCAAGGGGGTACCGAGGGACGGGTTACGTTAACGGTTTGAAAAGTGAAGTTTTTGAAGTGAATTGAAAATGGGGAGTGACATGTATATTTAGCATTGCATTCATGGCATGGAAATTTGTTGGTTTTGAACTTGAGAAATTTATGTTGTATTCTTTCCCGGCTTAGAATGATCCCTATTCCTTATCCCTATTCATTATTTGGATTCGCGGGGCCACAAGAGGTGTGTTTTAGGCACCACCTACTAAGCAAATTGCTCACCCCATTATTTTAACATTTTTTTCAGGCCAAGAAAAGAAGCAGTGGATGCCAACCTTCCACAAGCATGAGGAAGACTAGGAGTTTATCTTGTCATCTTTTGTATATTTCCCATTTTTTTTTTTTTTTTGTAAAGTCTCAAATCATAGTAAAGTGTATTTATTTTGCACACCATGGTCATGTATTGTGACTATGACACTTGATAGTAAATGATGCAAATTTGAGACTATGTAGATATTTCATGTTGAATGGGAATTGAAGTTGTGTTTTGACAATTCATTAATGTCTTTCAATTATTTACTATCATATTTCATTGCCGTGAATTCGTAAATGAAGTGCATAACAGGTCCGGTGTGAGTTTGGGTGGTAGTAAACACAGTCAGTGGCCATTCCAGTGAGTTTCAGGGTTCAAGGCCTTGTTTCGGTCGGCTGATCGTCACCATCAGCCGACCGAAACCCCAGATTCGTCCGACCGAACCCCCTTCTTCAGCCGACCGACACAGGCTATAGTGAAAGTCCCAAGAGCATGCATTTTTCATCCTCGTTTCGGCCGACTGACCATGTAGGTCAGCCAGCCGATCCTGCCTTGTCAGCCGGCTGACTGTTCCTCTTTAACCTGCATGTTTGAACCACTTTGGAAGGTTGAGTTTTAGGACAGTTAAAGACCTTGGATTTGACTCATATGATAACTAAGGACGTAGAAAATGGATGGTATGACCTAGTTGACCTCGGGTCAGAGCAAGAACCCGGTTAACGGTCCGGACTCACGGGTTCGGGTCGTTACAAGATCCGAGACGAGTTAATCCGTAAATCCGAGACGAGTTGATCCGTAGATTGGAGACGAGTAAAGTATAGAGTATGGTATGATAAACCTGCTCTGATACCATGTCAAAATTGAAGAGAGAAATAGAAAATGAAGCACACAAAGATAAACGCACAAAGCCCAAAGGGCTACATCATCTTTATTATATTCTCTCTTAAGATTGTTTACAATGAGCACCTCTATTTATAGGTGAAAGAACAAAGCGATAAATATGGAAAATACATTAATGGAGAATTCATAAAATCAATCCCATAAATCACTCCAATCATATTTTATCATAGACTAAAATCACTCCCACAATATTCTGTGGAGTAATTTAAGGTTCGTATAATAATATTCTCCAACCAAAGGTCTATGACAAGGGTTTTGGATTTTGCATTTTTTGTAGATGTAAACCCAAAATGAGGAGGGAAAAAAATCAAATTAAAAAGAAAATTGTAAGTAGAGGACCAATTAGTTAGTGTAGCACTAAGAATCTAGAAAAGCAAGAAACTTAGCCCAGGAAAAAAAAATGCATAATTAATATAGGTGTTGCTTAGAAAGGTGGAGTTTGTGTAATTGTATACAAGTTAGAAACAAAAAGGTTTTGGTAAGTTTACAAAGGCAAGATTAGGTGAATATACATATATGCCTAATTAATTAACTAGGCGTGTGTCTTTCTACTTAATTTCCATACACGTTACAAGAGAGTAATTTGCATAATAATATATATATTCATACATAATTAAAAGAATAGTTTGCTTCGACATATGTCCATGATGAAGAAAGCAGATATAGCACGCATGTACCTGTGGATTGCAGCTTATTCAAAAAGTGAATGTGAGGGACGTGTTGGATTTTGTAGTGATCTGCTCCTTCTTCTCCATCTACCACTCTAAGTCTTCTAACAAATGCTTCTGGCATGTCATCTACAATCAATTGCTGGAGGGTGTTGAGGAATCTCAATCCAGCGGGAACCATCTTTAATCTCCTGCAATCTATAACTTGTAAAGAAGAAAGATTGGGCATGGCTCCTTCATCCACCCTCCACTCCTCCAAGTAGGATAAATTGCAGAGTTGTAGAGATTTGAGTTAAGGGAAACCCTCCTTAGAGCAAACCATTTCCACCCCCTCAAAAGCATGAGCCCACAAGGAGAGGTATCTTAAGTTAGGCAGCTTCTCCAGTGTTGCCATTGGGTCCTCCTGGAGTTTAGATTCTGTTAATACCAATCTAGTAAGGCTTCGAGAGAAGTGGTGGTGTTCTACAGGTAACTTACCACCGCCTATAATCCCTATTAAACACAATGCATTCAAATGGTAACACTAACAGTCTTCTCAAAAGAATTGACTCTTCCTCTGATTCAAAGTTATGAGAAATAGTAATTGACAAAAGCCGTTGTCGATTCTCGGTGCTGCTTAGATAATTGATGAAGGCCACCACGTCAATTTCTGCTCCCAGTTTTCTAAGATTGGTTAGCTTCAATAGGTCTTTTACATCACCACATCTTGAATTGAAATTTTCCAGAATCTCGAGCTTGCTCAACCCATCCAATCTGATCAATTTTGCATTTCTTTCTATACAATCTTCATTAAGATATAGATGTGTTAAGTTTTTTTATCTTCCATAACACATTTGGTATTATCAAATTCGCATAATTATCCCGTAAATCTAGGGTTTGCAAGCATCTCAAGTTGCCTATCGATGATGACAACTTACCTTGTAGTTCACAGTTTCTTAAATTCAAATATCTCAAGTGGATTAACTTTCCTACTGCTTTCGGAAATCCTACAAGTTTCACTCCTTCAAGATGAAGAACTGTCAACACCTTCAAGTATTTAAAATGGGAATCCATTATCAGTCTATCATCCCCAAATATAAGTACTGATCGAAGGTGGCCCTGAGTTGTTACGTGTTCAAAATTAGAAACCAATTCACGTGGATCATCTTTATAATCCTCCTCATTGCCCAAATGGATCACAATTCTGCGTACTTTAGCATTGGATGATGATGAAGAGCAAGAGGAATCCAAAGGCTTCGTCCCCTTTCTCTTTCCAAAATCAAAGACATTCAAGAAATTTTCTTCTTTATTTTTTGACAAGCATACTTCTCGCATCCTGTCGTGAAGGCTGCAATTTTGAAAGCGTCCAAAGCTGAAGTCCTCTTCCTGTACTCCCAACTGAACAGTGTATCTTTGTGCCAGTTCACTTAAGTAACGCTCTCCAACGTCCATTATTGTGTCTTCTCCTCCCACATCATCTAACAATACCAAGTCTTCAGCCATCCACAATTGATATAGTTTCTCTAAATTTATCTGAGAATCCTCTGGGAAGCTGCCTAAATAGAGAAAGCATCGCTTCAACTCATATGGTAAATCATCGTAACTTAATGCCAAGACTTGTGATACTCCTCTATGTTGTTGTCCCACACCAATGCCCTTACTCATGTATGAATTAATATTCCCATGCACCATCTCCCACTCCCTCGCTGTATGTTTGGTTACCAAAATACCTCCCAACACAACAATAGCTAATGGTAGGCCTCCACAATTTCTAACCATTTTCCACCCTAACTCCTCCATCTTTTTTTCATGTCCTGCATAACCCAAAAAATAAAAAATAAATTATATTATTCAAGCAACGGGGCACTATCACATCTATCCATAGGGATATTTAAGATAGAAAACGACTTTTTTTCAGAGAGGATAATGGGAAAAAAATAATCAATCAATGATATGCAGGTGATATATATGATCCCTCACATTTCATGTCAAACACCAACATCATTTATCATAAAACGTCCAAAATTTAACTTTTAGTCGATCTATATTATTTCCAAGAAATTACAAAAAGAAAGGAAAGAAGAAAAGAAGAAAGAGAATGGTTTGGGATGTGTGTTTCTTGAGGCACTTTCAGGATTGGAAGATTGAGGATGGCAATAGATTGTTTAGAGCTTTCGTATCACCAAGAGGTTGTCGGAGGTGTTTGAGACCCTTGGGTATGGATTCCCTCTTCTTATGGTCGCTTTGATGTTAGGTCCCTTTATAGGTGCCTTTCAGAGGCTCCTGGGCCACCCTTTCTGTGGAGGGCTATTTGGCATTCGAAGGCCCCTCCTAAAGTGGTTTTTTTGCATGGACATCCACTTTGGGGAAGATCTTGACCCAAGTTAACCTTAAGAGGAGGAGATAGATTGTGGTCAATTGGTGTTATATGCATTAGAATGACGAGGAAGCGGTTGATCACCATCTTTTACATTGCCCATTGACTCAGGATTATTAGACTTTGATGTTGGGTTTGTTTAGGGTTCAGTGGGTTATACCTAGGTCTTCCAGAGACTTGGTTGAGGCTTGGAGAGGTTGTAAAATGGGGGCCCAAGTTATGGATTTCTGGAGGATTACGCCTTTGTGCGTCTAGTGGTGTTTATGACGAGAAATAGGAGATCCTTTGAAGGAAAAGAGATTCCTTTTGGGACTTTGAAGTTCTCCATTATTAGCACACTTTTTGTTGGTTTCTAGGGAGAAATTGTAAATTCATGGAGAAATTTGTTGATTTTTTGGACTCATCGATGATTTAGAGGACCTTATTGGACTTGTGTAGTTTTTGAGGATTCGTTCCCCTGTTGAACGCTTTTTATACAATCTTTACTTATAAAATAAATAAATAAACTAGATTTGCATAACAAATACCAAAATTACTCAACAATTCATCCATCAAATTTTTATATTTGCATAACAAACAAATAAAGCATATTAGCATAATCTACAAAGATGGAAAAGAATTTACAAAAATGTACAAACATAGGAAAAATTTAGCTAAAATCCCTAGATCACGGAACCATGATGAGAAAAAGAAAGATGTAATATAGTGTTAATAATGTGCATATGTATATATGAGATCCAAACACAGAGGTATAAATATTTATAGAAATAATATGTGTATTTAAATCAGTGTTTATGGGTATGTGTAGATTGACATCGAAGAACAGAGGTATAAATATTTATAGAAATAATGTGTATTAAGATTTGCAATCGTGGACGCAATATAACGGACTCGGGCTCGTATCGGTGTAACTTAATAGAATTGATTATCGTAGTCGTGAATTTTTTTCAAACTTGCACATAGTGACCAAAATGCACTGATACACGACTTCAATAAAGATGGATTTTTTGTAAACTTTGGTAATTTTTATTGAATTTTTTAAGATCATTTAACATAAGCAATGAACTGTTTATGAATTCTAAATCGTTCTCCTCATTTAGCGCAATTTTTATACCATTTTCAAAATTAATGAGCATATTGTTTTTTAATGATTTTTTTTTTTCTCCAATTGTTTTTTAATGATTGAAAATGGGTATTTGGACATTGCACGACTAACATTGTTATATTAATAATAAAATTACCTATTAGCGTATCAATTTATACGAAAATAGTAATTCATATTTCTATTACATTTTTCACTAATATATACTAACTCCGTCCCAAAAAGGATGTCACTTTTTGGGAACCATGGATTGAAGTTGTAAATGCTTATTTTTTAATTTCTAAAATTTGGGATAAAGTATTAAAAGGTTGTGAAATTAGTGTAAGTAATAAACAAATAAATTAAGTGAAAGAGGAAATTGGAAGAAAAGCATAAATCATTGGTGTAATGCTATAATTATATAATATTCATTAGGGTAAAATGCAAAAAAAAAAAAAAAAAAAAAATACCTGAACTATTGGTGTTTTGCAACTAACCCCCTGGAACTACAAGAAACCTTCCTGAAATATGAATTTGTTTCAAATAGCTATTCAGTATTATCAAGTTCTCCACAATTCACTAGACCTGCAACCACCAAGTTCCAAGAAACAACATCTTTCGAAGGCATCCTATCAAACACCCGAACTACTTCATCAACCAACCCATTACGAAGATACAGTCACTACATTGCTAAACTGCATACACTCAAAAACTTCCTTTGCACCATTCACATTGCCACAATGCATTAAACCTATAATCATCATCTTATTTGAATACAAATCACGATTGGGCATCTGATTGAACAAGCAAAGCACTTTTCAAAACACCCATTTTTACAGAACCCGTGAATCATTGCATTCCAGTGACTATTTTTCGGAGGCATTTCTTCGAACAGCTTTTGGGCTTCTTCGATGAAACCATTTCTCATGTAGTATGAGATATTTGTGTTGGGAGGCTTCAAATTGGAAAGTGTTGATTCAGTATAGTTTTTAGCTAGTAGTTGCATGGAGAGAATTTTGGTTAGTGAGAGTTGAATGGGATGAAATGTGAAAAACATAATCAAAGTGAAGTCAAGACAGAAGCACATAACACAAAACAGTTATGGGTTGTTGAGTGTGAACTTTGAATGATGGAGGCTATGGGTTGTTTTGAGTGTGAACTTTGAATGATGGAAATCAGTTGTTGTATGGATTCAATCAGGTGACTAAGCTCAAATTTTAATGATGCAGCCTAAAATGTTAATGACTATTATCCTAACATTAGTAAAAGTTTGGTTATGCTTGAACAAAATTGAATTGGAATATCAATTGTGTTCGTTCACCAAAACTCAAGAAGAATAAGCTTCAGACCCGTTTGAATTATTTCTAAAAATTCAATTTCTAACCTCTTAGGTAGCTACAACACAAGTTCAAGTTCTCTTCTCTGCATCTATCTTGCAAGGGAACAATCAAGGTCATTTTTTGTGGAGATCTCACTCCACACATTTAACAACCCACTAATAAATATTATATATATATATACACACACACATATATATAGTTTTAATTTAACTACATTAAAGACATTTAATAAAGATGCAAGAGTGGGGATTAATTATATACTACATACTTACCTGATGAAGCATCTGCTCTTCTAAATGCTTTCTTTTGAAGCAGTTCCCAGCTTCACCATCTGTCAAAAATGGTGGTTCATGGAAGAGTCCCTCTGGATTCACACATTGAGCCACTTCTTTATTACGGGTGGTGAGTAATACTTTGCTTCTGCTATTGCTCTTCTTTCCAATTGGAAATGCAGATCTCAAAATATCCCAGGTCTCCACTGTCCAAATGTCGTCCACAACTATCAAGCACTTTTTCTTCTGCTGAACATCAAAGAGCATCCTGACTAGCTCCTCATCTCTCATACCACGAATCTCCTCCTTTTTCTCAGGGACAAATTTAATCAAAATCCCTTGCAAAACATCTTGTTTCTGGAGTTGCTGAGATATACAAGCCCAAGCAAGACAATCGAAGTGACGGTTAACATTGTTGTGGTTGTACACTCTTTGAGCAAGAGTGGTCTTGCCCAAACCACCCATGCCACAAATACAAACAGTTTGATGCCAGTTGTAACTATCTTCGTCTTCATTCAACAGATGTTCCACCAAATTCTTCACATCACTCTCCAAGCCTATGAAATCCTCTTCAATGACATGGGAATATGTTCGTCTTAGTAGACGGTGCCTTTCGTGTGCCGAACTTGATGACCCTTGATCTCCTTCCGCCGTAGATCTTATAAGTTTCTAAACTTGTGGAGAGTTCAGAAATCCTGATTTTAATAGCCTTGATCTCTGACCCAACATTGTGGTGGTGTATAAATTTGTTAAAGATGCAAGCATATCTTATAAAAAAGTATCGGATATCACCTCCACTTCTCCCCCTCCTGGATGATAATCTGAGGACAAAAGTTTCGATGACATCTTCAACATCATAAGCAATGTCTTGAATCTCTATAACAAAGTTGCGCTCTGTCGCCCCAGCTTTATGCTTTGCATCTGCATCTTTTAGAAAGCATTTCATCCAGCTTAGCTCAGCTTGAATTGCCTCAACTTGAGAGCGTACTCCGGTTAACAGTTTTGCTTCTTCAATCAACCAATCACCAATCCTTTCAACAACAAAAGAGACAACAGGCTCAGCAACTATTTCCATGCTCAATGGAACAACTATGGGAGGGTATAGCTTAATTAAAAGGTTTATTTGTTGAAGAAAGATGTGGGTGCAAGTGTGTGCTTTAACAATCGTCAGACTATTTATATCATCTCGATCTCAAACTGGGAAGCAATCCCATGGAATTGCCTCATTCTAAAGCCAACCCATATATGCACTTTATTCCAAATCCTAACAAAGCATTTCATGTCACCAAATTTTTTTAATTTTTCTGTTATTCTTCAATAACTTTAATTATTCCTTTGAACGATCTTTTAGTTTAGAAAAAGAATAGTTTTAAGTTTAAAATACTCTGGCATCTCCACTTGTACAAAATTTGTTTTTCAACTGTTCATATGCTTTTTACCAATATAAATGAATTTTGAACAGAATAATTACAATGAAGTGTTATACTTATTATTTTTAATTACTCCATTCATTTATTTGTTGCATGAATACTCACTTAAAAACAATATGTATACTAATTTACTCCAACTATTCAATGCAAAATTTCACTCCAACTATTCAATGCAAAATTTCACTGCAATTTTTCGGTCAGCTTATCACTACTCTCATTTTATTGACGAAATAGCAGTGAAATTGTGTTTTTACCTTTGTCGCGGCGGCAATGTCGGCGAAAGGAAACACGAGAATATTTGTTGGTTGGATGGATCTGTGGTATGTTTGGGGTTACAATTCGCAGTGGTGGTCGGATGAACGAGACGACTGTGATGGTTAATGGCTACCTACAAATTCAATGACTTAGCCCGAAGCAATTCCATCTGTGTTCAAAATCGCATAAGCAATTCCATCTACAATCTCTTCGCAAACCCCAATCGCATCTAACGATCGCGAACCCAATCGTAACCCTTCGTGCGTCTCGTACTTTGTTCCTATCACCATCGCAACCTTTCACACTTCTCTGTTCAAATATCACTCTCTGTTCGTAGTTCATCTCAACAGTAACTTGGTGAAAAAACACTGCGTCAGTTTAAGACTTGCATAAAATTTGTGATTTATTTTATATATTTTCAAATACAACTCTGCGTCATTTTAAGACTTGCCCTTTCTTTTTCTGTTTTTTCTTTTCCAACAAGGATAAAGTAGTTTGCTGCGGCTCATGGACTACTTTATTCCAATCTACGTAGTACGGACACAAATATGAGATACGGGTACGACATGACATGGATACGGTGATACGGCAAATTTTAATAAATTAGAACATGGACACGGCAGGGATACGCTTATAAAATTATATATATATATATATATATATATAATTATATATTCAAAATATTATTACTAGAATCTTGTACAGATAAATAAAATAACAACAAAGAACATAATTAATTTCAATAATTTCATCTCTATTATAAGAAAAATATAGACAAGACAAAACAGAAAATAAATGAAAAATAAAGTTGATCCAAATTCCAAACGAAGATGTGCAAAAGAGACATATCTATAATGAACTAAATATGTATATGAATAAACATATATACTTCCAGTCTTTCACAAAGTTTTGTTCATGTAACTTAAATACATACATATATATATATATATATATATATATATATATATATATATCTTGTTCATGAAGAGAGATAATTGAAGAAGAGGAGAGACTGAGAGAGGAGTGAGAGAAAATAAATTTTGTCTCACAGAAGTGTCGGACCGTGTGTCCGAGCCTCGGACACGTGTGTCCAATAAAAAATAATATTTGGACATTTTACAGAAGTGTCGGATACGTGTCCGAGCCTCGAACACGGGTGTCGGTGTCCGAAAAGTGTCCGACACTGGTACGAGGCCTCTGGGCGGAGTGTCCGTGCTTCATAGATTCCAATCATTCAGTGTTAATTTCTTTCAACTTTTTGTTATTCTTTCCTAACTTTAATAATTCTTTTAGGTTACATCATATGTAAGTTTTATGAAATTCTTAATGTTTTTTTTTTTTTGTTTTTTTATGTTTTGTTCGATACAAAGAAAGGAAGAAAAGAATGAAAAGATTTAACAAAATAAAAAAAAAAAAAAAATAAGAATGAAAGAACAAAATTTTCTTTCAACTTTTTGTTATTCTTTCTTAACTTTAATAATTTTTTTAGGTTCCATCATATGTAAGTTTTATGAAATTCTTAATGTTTTATTTATTTATTTATTTATTTATTTTTATGTTTTGTTCGATACGAAGAAAGGAAGATAAGAATGAAAGAACAAAATTTTTTTGTTCATTAAAGAGGAAATAAGAAGAGAAAATATAATATAATTAATTAATTACATCATTCTTTCTTTACAAATTTTCATTCCTTCAAATATGAGTGAAAAAAAAAAAAAAGAAGAAGAAGAAGAAGAAGAAAAAAGAAAAAGAAAAAAAGGGAAGGCAAGTGAGACTATTATAAAAGGATTAAAGTATAATACTATCTTTCATAAATTACAATACTTGCTGTAGGTGCAAATTTTTACACCCGAATACTTAAAAGAAATAAATTAAGAAGTGTGCATAATATTGATGAGATATAAGCAATTTCTTAAGAGAAGAACAATGTTGAGAATTCGATGCCTCTTCATTCTCATTCAGGCTCTATTTATAAGTTTTTTCTAGATATTTACATGGTGCCATTTCATGGCTCTTACTCCCAAACGTGGGTATTTGTACCTACTGATCGTGTGCATATCATTATGGCAAGCGTTATGGACTTATGGGCCTGTTGAGATTGGGTCATCCATTCGGCTTTTAAGTCAAGTGGAGCTGCCTTTATTTAATTGGGCTGAATTGGTATGTGCATATGGTTTCTACTGTTGGGCCTCCAACTGATAGTGGGCCTCTGGGCATTTTTAGTTTAGTTGCGGGCTGCTCTTTTGCTGTCATGTGGTGTGTTGTGATTGGTGGGGGTTTTTCCCTCCACATTTTGCCCCCGATTCCTTTTATGAATTTGATTCATATAAGGAATTGTAACTTCTTTCGGGAAGTGGAGAAGTTTTTGCGGCTAATACTACCTATCATTACCATTTGTGCTGTTGATTTTGGGGCCTCGTGCTTGTCCTTCCGTTATTGGCTTTCCTTTGTTTATATATTGTGTCTTCGTCATTCGGGTATCTGCATCTGTGATCTCGTTCCCGAGTTTTGGCGAGAGTCCGATTGCTGCTTCAACATCTCCTTCCATCTGCTGAGGTTAGTCTTTCTTCTCGTTCCTTCTTTCTTACATTATGAGTCAAGAAAGTAGCGAACGAACTTATAGTGTTCATATGTCTGATTCTGAGTCGGGGACTGCGGCGGCGAGTCTGAGTGATTATGTTAAGGGTCTTATAATCCTCCCTCTGGACATTGTAGAAAGGAAGTCCTTTTCAATTTCTCAGTTAAGAAAGAAAAATCACGATCCTTCTGACGTTACCCTTAAGGAGTACGATCATGATTTGAATTTTAGTACAGGTGAGGGTTTGGAGGAAGGCGAGATGCTCTTCTCGGTTACATTTTCCTGCTTTTCGATTCCCCCTTAATCCTTTTTACCTTCAAGTCCTATCGGTGTTGAATTTGGTCCCTCTTCAAGTTAACCCTAATTTTTTCCCCATTCTTTCCTGTCTTCTTGCTTTGAATAGGGTTCGAGGTTTAACCTTGAATCTAGCCAATTTTCTGTTTTGTTATACACTTGATAGAACGAAAGGTGGAGAGGATAGATTCCACTTTCATTCTAGACCGGGTAGGGCGCTTTTCTCCTACCTTAACACTTCTGACAAGGAGTGGAAAGACAAAATTGTTAAAGTCGGAGGGGCGTGGCGATCTTCGTCCGCTCGGGATTTATTCGTTCGATCGAGCTTTCATGCCCCATCCATTCCTGCATTCAATGATTTGGGCGAGTCTTCTTGCTTCGTCTGTATCGTAAAGCATTTTTGTTACATTTATGACTTCCTGGGTCACGAAACTGACTTTTTCTCTTTGAAATTTGTAGATAGTCCTCTTGTTTATTTGCAAGAAAGAGTCTGGAGAGACATTCCTTCTGCCAGGGTCCTTCTCTCTTCTTCTCTTCTTGAGACGATCTCAAAGGATTCTCCGGTTATTTGTTCAAAATCCTGAGGAGCCCATCGACCTTGACGCTTCTAATTTCGAGGCTAGCCTCTTATCGCTTGCCCCTTTTTCCCTTTCTCAATCAGCGATGGAACTTCCTTCTCCAAAACCACGTACGACTAAGAAGGAGAGGGAGGCAGCTGCTAAGTTACTACAAGAGAGAAAGAACATCCTTGTTGAGGAGAGTAAGCTCTCCTCCTCTTAAAAGCAGAAAGGGGCTCAGCTAGGGACTAAACGTCCCTCCGCGAAGGATAATTCTCCTTCGAAACGCCCCAAGTTTATGGCTGGGGCCTTTGGGGGTAAAAGTGCCCTAATTCCTGGCGCTGTTGACGTTGCCGGAGGTGATTTCATGAGGTTTGCCGAAAAGTGGTTCCCCGAAATGCTGAAGGCTGATGGTTCTCCTATCATCATTGGTGATTCTGGGGCTGAAGACCCGGAAACGCTGATGGGCTAAGCCAGAGCGATATGGCCACCCAGGGATGAGATTTTACAACAGCAAATAAGTGTTGACAATCTGCTATCTATTGCACCCAAGTCTATAATGGAGGTAATTTTTTCTAACTCCACTTTTTTCTTTTTACCCATCTTGGTTTCTTGACAATTTTTTATTGCTTTTGCACAGAGCTCTTTCTTGATGTTCACTCTTATGAAGAAGCTATTGGCTGACTCCCTTCAGGCGAACCAGTCTGCCGCCCTTCGAAAGAGGGTGAGTGTTTTAGAGGCTTCCTTCGCTGTGGAGAAGAAGGAGAAGATCTAGCAGCTCAAGTCAATTGAGTATTTTGACAAGAGGGCTAAGGAACTTGAATATAAAGCGGTTGAGCTTGACTTACAGCTCGGGAAGGCGAACTCCCTTATTCAAACCTGCAAGGATGGGGGTTTAGAGATGTTCGACCATTTTTCCCAAATTGCGAATCTTCGCTACGCCAAAGGTTTCAGGCTTGGCTTTGCTCAGGTGCAGCTTCCTTCTGAGGAGAAACATATGGCGATGCTGATGAGTATGATGCCGAGCAGGGGCTTTTAGTTACTGGTGAATATGTTAAGCCCTCTGATGGCCCTAGAGAGATTGAGTTTGCTACTCTGCTGAAGGGTAAGGTGGCCACTGAGGTTCTGTCTCCTCTTCAATATCCTTTGGGCTCTCATGGGTTACCTACTCTATCGTTTGATACCCCTTCCTCTACTCTAGTCAAAGTAGAGTTGGTTGATGCTTTCACATAAAGGTTTAATGCAGAAGGTGGAGCTAAACCCGAGAGTAACCTTGCGTAGCTTTTTATTTTTATTTTTTGAGGTGTTGGGTATGTCCTGCCTTTTTTGTAAAAATTCTCCTATCTCTTTAGGAGTATGAAAGTTTCTTTTGCCACCTTTGCTTGAGCTCCTTCTTACGATTTGACATTGATTCGCTTATTTGTTTTTGTGATTGATTCTTGGGACCGTTCTGCTATTCTTTTTGGATTTGATCAATTTTACGATCAAATTTGATTAAGTGTTCGGCTCTTGGGACCTTCGAATATTTTCGATCGGTTCATCGGGCGTTTGGCTTTTAGGGCTTTTGCCCATTTTGCGATCGGTTCTTGAGGCCGTTCGGCTTTTTATGACTTGACCAGTTTTTGCTGGTCAAGCTCGGTTAGGCATTCAGCTCTTAGGGTCTTCACCTATTTTACGATCGGCTCTTGGGGCCGTTCGGCTTTTTAGGACTTGAACAGTTTTATTGGTCAAGCTCAATCGGGTGTTAAGCTCTTGGGGCCTTCGCTTATTCTGCGATTGACTCTTGGGGCCGTTCGGCTTTTTGGGACTTGAACAGTTTTACTGGTCAAGCTCGATCGGGCGTTAGGCTCTTGGGGCCTTCGCCTATTTTGAAATCGGCTCTTGGGGCCATTCGGCTTTTTGGTACTTGAACAGTTTTATTAGTCAAGCTCGATTGGGCATTAGGCTCTTGGGGCCTTTGCCTATTTTACGATCGGCTTTTAGGGTCATTCTGCTTTTTGGGACTTGAACAGTTTTACTGGTCAAACTTGATCGGGCGTTAGGCTCTTGGAGCCTTTGCCTATTTTCTGATCGGCTTTTTGGGTCGTTCGGCTTTTTGGGACTTGAACATTTTTACTGGTCAAGCTTGATCGGACGTTAGGCTCTTAGGGCCGTTCAGCTTTTTGGGAGTTAAACAATTTTACTGGTCAAACTTGATTGGGCGTTAGGCTCTTAGGGCCTTTGTTTATTTTGCGATCGGCTCTTGGGGCCATTCGGCTTTTTGGGACTTGAACAGTTTTACTGGTTAAGCTTGATCGGGAGTTAGGTTCTTGGGGCCTTTGCCTATTTTGCGATCGGCTCTTGCCTCGGGATTTGCCGAAACTCAATTATGTCAAAGTACTTTGCTAGCTTTTCAACTTCTTCTCAGTATGCACACATTCTTCCTTCTTTGGGGACATACTCTCCTGTCACTTGCCTGGTAATGAGCAGTGAGTCACTATAAACTCTGGGGTATCTTACTTGGAGTTCCTTGGCGAGTCTGAGCCTTGCCAGTAGTGCCTTATACTCTGTTTTATTGTTCGTGGCTGGGAACTCTAGTTGGATTGACTGCTAGAGTTTAGTCCCCTCGGGAGTTTTTATTTCCAGACCTACCCTGGCTCTGTTCTGGCTGGAGGAACCATCAACGTATAATTCCTAGCAAGGGTTTTCTGTGACTTGCTGTTCTTCTTCTGGATCAGTGTCCAAGAGAAAATCTGCAACCACCTGCCCCTTCTTCGCGGTGCGTGACTCGTACCGAATGTCAAAGGAGCTCAGCTTGATTGCCCATTTGGTAATCCGACCTAACAGATCTGGTTTACTGAGAATTGATTTGATCGGATGCGTTGTGGGGACTATTATCCAATGAGCCTTGAAGTAATGCCGAAGCTTTCTTTTGACCTGGACCAGGGTAAGGATGATTTTTTCTGTCGTTTAGTACCTACTTTCTGCGTCAGTTATGGCCTTACTGGAGTGGAAGACCGGGTGCTGCTTTTTTCCCATTTCTCTTACTAGAGTTGAACTGGTCGCTGACTGAGATACTGCTAGATAGAGGTACAACGGTTCTTCGAGATCTGGGGCAGATAAAATTGGGGGGTTTATCATGTACTCTTTGAGTTTTGCAAGAGCTTATCGTTGCTCTGCCCCCCAAATTTCTCCTTTTCTTGCTTTAATTGCATCGAAGAACGGCTTGCATTTGTCTGACAACCTGGATATGAAACAACTGAGGGCTGCTATTCTCCCAGTGAGAATTTGAACCTCTTTCACGGTTCGGGGCTCCTTGCTTTGTAGTAGTTTTGCCAACTGGGTTGGACTTGCCTCTATTCCCCTCTGGTTGAGGAACTAGCCTGAGGTTACTCTGAACGAACACTTCGTTGGATTTAACATCATTTAATTGTCTCTAAGAGTATCAAATACATCGTGCAAGCATTGCCGATGATCCTTCTTATTCTTGCTTTTGACAACCATATCGTCTATGTAAGTTTCGACTGTTTGGCCAATCTACTTTTCGAATATTTTGTTGATTAACCACTGATAAGTAGCTCTCGCATTTTTTAACCCGAAGGGCATGACCTTATAACAGTAGGTCCCACGTTCGGTAATGAAAGAAGTATTCTCTTCATCCAAAGGGTTTATCGGATTCTGGTTGTAACCCAAATAAGCATCAAGGAAAGTTAATTTTTCATACTCGGTCGTAGCGTCTACCATCTGATTGATTTTGGGAAGCGAAAAGCTGTCCTTCGGGCAAGCTTTGTTCAGGTTGGTGAAGTCGATGCATACCCTCCATTTGCCGTTCTTCTTTTGGACAACCACTACATTTGATAGCCATTGAGGATACTGGACTTCTCTGATAAACCCTGCTTCTAAAAGTCGGTTGACCTCTTTAGCAATGATTTTGTTTCTTTCATGGGCGAATTTTCTCTGTTTTTTGTTTCACTAGGTGATGGCTCGAGTCCACGTTTAGGCTATGATAGGCTATCCGTGGGTCAATTCCTGGCATATCCCAGTGATTCAAACGAAGATGTTGGCATTCTGCCTTAAAATCTCTGTCAGCTCCTCCTTTTCCTAGGCTAATTGGAGTGTCCTTATATAGGTTAGCTTGTG